TTAGCTGCAACTTCCTGGCATAAGCACCTCTAGGCAGCAGCCAGAGGGATCTGACTGTTGCCAAGGCCTTGCTTGTAAGGCTTCCTTTCTCCATTCTGCTCAATCTCACAGCTGTTTCTCCTGACATCACGGTATTAATTATCCTGTCTCTGTTTTCATCAGGCTAAATTAGCCTGTTTAACCTATTCCCAGGTTGGCAGCAAGAAAAAAATAGTAATTTCTAAGCAAAGTTCTTTAGAGAAAACTGTCCATCTGGGCATGGCAGATCCCTTTCCATATGGTTAGGATCAAGCACTTCCCTTCTTTCTCCTAATACAGTGGAACAAAATGGCCTTGCTGATGACAATGGTCTGCTGCTGTAGCATCAAATAGATGAGTTCATCAGAGTTGAAAATGTTTTCTTGTTTGTTGGTCGTGGGGCTTGGACTCTGGGCCTGGGTATTATTCTCCCTCAGCTCTTCAGCTCAAGGCTTAGCACTCTACCACTTGAGCCACAGCACTACTTCCAGTTTTCCGAGTGGTTTATTGGAGGTAAGAGTCTCAGGGGGACTTTTCTGCCTTGGCTGGCTTTGAACAGCAATTCTCAGACCTCAGCCTCCTGAGTAGCTAGGCTTACAGGCTTGATCCACCAGCGCCAGGCTTGAAAAATGTTTTAAAAATCTTTTACTTCACCACTGTTCAGCTCACTGTTCAGGCCTGCAGCCTTTCTTCTGCTTTGCTTTCATTTCTGTCACTCGTCCAAGGCATCAGAGAATCTGATGCTCTCTGCCCCCATTACTGCATCAAATCACTACTGCAATCTCAGTCAACATTCCTTTCTCTCCCTTTTCCTTTTGTCTCACTTGGGTATCTTGTCACATTTCCCATTCTTCTTAACATTCATGCTGGAAGGCTGGCCCTTTAGTCAACACAGCCAGCAATCAAATAGTTCCTGCCCTTGGAGGAAACAACCTGATTAAGTGCTGTGAATGAGATAAAGCCTTTGTTTCTTTGACTCCTCTTGGCCTCTGGTTTATTGCTTAGTGCCCAGCCTTTCTGAAGGCTGAATGTGATCACTAACCTCCTCATGCAGTACAACTAGCTTGTATAGTTAGTGTGTGCTGCAGGAAGGTCAGTGACTTGGGTATGGCTTAAACAAGCAGAGAACTAATGATTCCAGGGCAGGGCTTTACAAAGAAATCTCTCCTTACCATCTTTAGATAGAGGTAAGGTGAAGCAAGATGAAAACTCTAGTTCTTCGGGGTTGAGGTGCCAAATAGCTGAAAGTAGCAGCAACAGTTCTTGGTGGGCCCTCAGAGGGACAGTTCTCTCACTTTGTGCATAGGAAGATTCCAAGAGTAGAGGGCTTGATGAAGATCAGGAAGCAAAGTTTTACTTTTCACAACTGCATCATAGATAGTTCCCTAGGAACACAATACGCCACTGTGTCCAGGAGGCTGTGAAAAGGTTAATTTGTACAGTCACTTCAAAGTTTTTTTTCATTTAAATATTTGTTCTTTACAAGAAGTCTAAAAACAAGTTCAAGTTTTAGAAATCATTTGCTTTTAATAAAATGAAATCATAGGCACTAGAATAATTCTTCTCAATCTAATCAGTATGTTAATCTCCAATGAAGAGAAAGATACTGTGTGTGTGTGTGTGTGTGTGTGTGTGTGTGTGTGTGTGTGTGTGTGTGTGTGTGTGTGTGTGCAGTCCTGGGGCTTGAACTCAGGGTCTGGGCACTGTCTCTGAGCTTTTTTGTTCAAGGATAGTATTCTATCACTTGAACCACAGCTCTACTTCTGGCCTTTTGCTGGTTAACTGGAGAGTCTTACAGACTTTACTGCCCAGACTGGCTTCAAACTGTGATCCTAAGATCTCAGGCTCCTAAGTAGCTAGGATTGCAGGTAGGAGCCAATGGCACCTGGCTATATATACTTTTAAAGTTTACTTGAATTTTATTGTGTATGGCTCATGTAAAATAGGATGAATGCTGAGCACTTTTTATTCAACATTGTAATGGCTCAAAGAGAGAAACTTAACACATGGACCCTGCTCTTAAAAAATTAAAAGTCTTTATGAACAAAGTTCAAAAAGTACTATAATAATTTTAAACCAGATATGACTAATGTAATAATAAACCAAGATGGTTCAAACATAGTTATAATTTGCCTTTGTTCACAGGATAGTCATTAGGATAATTAATGAGCTTAAATAAACAAAATTCTTAGAGAAAGAAATAGAGAGGTCAATAGGAAAGGACCTACTTCCAAATCTCCAAACTTTCTCCATGAAAAAGTTCTAACCATATACTCAAGGTATTAAAACAAAGACAATACTACCATTAAGGTATGAAATTTGAAAAATAAAAGCTACTCATGAATTAAATAGTATTCCTGAGTATAAAGTAGTATTAAATAGCAATCCTGAGAGTTGGTATAGTTATCCCAAGAGTTGTTAATCTAAAAATCAGCTTAAAGGAGGTAAGAACAATTATCTATTAACAGAGAATGGATCAGTTGTGATATAGTCAAACAGCAGAATGACAATAGTAATGAAAAGACAATTCACAACATAAAAGTATCTCTAAAAAGTTGATCAAGAATACATGATTTCATTTATATGATTTTCTAGAAGAACTAACACTAATATATGATTGCAGAAGTCAGAACAACTCTTATATGGGGAGGGATTGATTGGAAAGGCATGAAAGAATTTTCCAGAATAACAGAAAAGTTCTCTATTTTTTACTGGGATTGTGGTTACCAAATCTAAAATTACAATTATAACATCTTTGCATATCACTGAGTATCAAAAAAGTAAATTATGGTTTACTTGCTGGGTCTTACTGTTAAATGTCACTTACTACTAGAAAATATCTAGTAAACCTTAACTCTTAAAAACCAATACACACCATTCAAAAAGCAGATATAAAAGCTTTAATTCACTGTGGGTACTTCTCTGACCATTCTTTATATTAGATATAACCTTTCATGTCTCCACATAGACAAGTCTTTCATAAGACAGTATTAATGGACACTGCACATGTATTCAGCACATGTATGGCACCAACTTTTCCTTTTAACTAATGGTATCTAACATATAGCATGAACTGCTAATACAAACACTGAACTTTTATACATGTTAGAAAGTTTAAATAAAACAAATTTAAGAAAGGCTAAATACTATGAAAGTTTACATATTATCAACTTTAATTCTACACATCATATCACAGTGACAACCAATTACAATAAAATCACAACTGCTTATAGATAAGAATATGTTCAGATTCTAACATCCAATTATTTTCATCTTCACATTAACTCCACACCACATAACGTTACATTTCTATACAAATTAAGACCAGCTTTCAGACTGTATATCAAACTTCTTGAGTAATAAGAATTACTATTTTAACTATGGCTACAAGACAATAACTTTAAATTCCCTGTATTATATAGAGACATTACTCCGTTTATTACATAGAACTCTCCAGTGGTGGTGTCTGAAAATAATTCAAAATATGATATGCTACCATTCTACATATTTCATACAAAGATGAAGTCTTTGTCAAAACATTAGAAATAAATATATTATTATAAACCCTACAAAATACTGCCAAGGGGAAAAAAAAGTCCAAGATGATTTAGAAACTAAACACAGCTGGATGCCAGTGGCTCATGCCTATAATCCTAACTATTCTGGGATCTTAGGATTGTGATTTGAAGCCAGCCTGCGCAGGAAAGTGTGTGAGACTCTTATCTCCAATAAACTACTCAGAAAAAGCTGGAAATGATACTTTGGCTCAAATGGTAGAGTCCTAGCCTTGCGCAAAAGTAACTCAGGAACAATGCCCAGGCCAAGTTCAAGCCCCAGGACTGGCAAAAAAACAAAAACAAAAACAAAACAAAACAAAAAAGCCCAACAACCCCCCGACCCCAACCAAATAACCCCTCAGAAACAGCTATTCTGTGCAATCTTCCTGAGTCAATTTTCGATTGGAATAATTAAGCCAGTACTATATTGGTTTAATATTGGCAGTTCAGTCCTTGAACATCTAGTTCACATCCTATAAAATTCTGAAAAGACTTCTATATACCCAATTAATTATACAACAGAAAGCTGATCATGTTTTGTATTAAAACCTATGTGAATTTCAAGCACAGCCTTTTTTAACAGTGAATAAGGGATGGAAATATATGCACAGCTGTACACAAATCACCATTAAACACAGGAACAAAATGCCATTTGAGGCATATTAAATAAGCTCCCAAAGCCAATTCGAATATATTTATTTTCATTTATTTTGATACAGTATTAGAAGGGACTGCACATAATTATAGAGACTGCTGCAAACAACACTTGATGCTAAGTGTTCTACTTTATCAGGCATGCACAATAGTTACCTTTTAAATTTTCTCATGTATACATCTTAACACATATATCTTAAGCTATAAATATATTTTAAAGGCTTTAGTAATTTTCAACCAAATTGTTTTAACTGACCTATAGTGAAGTAGGGAAAAACAAAAATTTCTTCCTTTATCTCAATACTAGATGGCAATATGACACCTTACTACTCAAACTGATAAACTTATTTAATGTATGTCATCCTTAAGATTTGAAATTTGATGAAATCTTATCACTACTAAATAAGACAATGATTTCCTGGCAGCAGTCTGTCCACCACACACTTACAGCATGCCAAACCTTGGGTTATATAAGACTGACATGCTGGTGGCTACAGATGACAATGATCGAACATATCAGTCTCTTCGTTTTATTCTGGATATCTTTATTTTGAAGTTTTTCTTACTATAAACCAAAAATAAAACAATCTTGTTTTTTTACATTGTATAGGAGATAACTGATAAATCACCTTTGTTGTCTTCCAGTGTGTGGCAAAGCAAAATATATTCCAATTACATTAAGAAAATCTGGAGTGGAAAGGGAGAATAGTTTGTTTTTCCATTTAAGAAAGCATTCTTGTCCTATAATCATAAAAACTTTACAAATACAGATTGCTTGGTTTAGAGTCACTTATGGCTTAAAGTACTGGATCTGAAAATCACTTCTGCTAAAATAAATACATGTGAATAATGCATAGATTGTAAATCTAGAAAATCATGCAATAAACAAATATTCTTTTGTACATTAGGATCTTGGTAAAGAGTGTGCAGGAGTGAACCCTAAGTATTCCCACTTTTTACCAAGAAGAGAATCCTGCAAGATCTTTGTTTTTTGATTGCTCGAGATCATGTCTGTCAGATAATCTGATATTCTCAGGTTGGTAAAAGAATAATGTCTCAGGACACTTGCAATAAGAAACTGACTTGCTTCAAGTGTAGTAAGTCTGTCTAGGCAGAAGAGATGATCATGTAACCTGCTGCAGTCAATTGGGAATACTTGACTACCTAGAGTATCAAATGGGTAAATGCTTACAATGACCCACTGGAAAGGTATACTATATTGGTACACTGAAAAATTCTATCTGCCCTTTAAATTGGAGAATTGTCAGGATAAGGTCCACTCACTATTCCTGGTTTTGATATGCCCCTACAACATGAGAATTGAACTGAACTACAATGATTGTAATATCATCTCTGTACATCCGAGCAAGCTCTTCAGGAAGACTAAGCATTTTGGAAAGACGCTCATGATCAACAGTCCCAAACTCGTTGTTGCCCACAGCATGGCGAATGAGATGGGTTGCTGCATTCTGATCCTCAAATACTGAGGACATCTTGGCTCTCCTTTCTGTTAAAAGGCCATGCATCTGTCCCAAAGTTACCTTGTAGCCACCAACAGCTATCGGCTGTTGGTGATGCATACCCGTTAAGTACTCACCCACAATCCTAACCACATCCTGCCTATGCATAGTCTCCCACAACCCATCAGTAGCCAACACCAGAAATTTGTCCTGTGGCCTTAATCGGTGGTAAGTTACCTCTGGCTCAGCAGTGAGATAAGGAGGTGTGTGGTAATTAGGAGGGATAAACTTGGTGTATTCATTGTCATTCAACTGGTCTGGGCCAGATTCTATCACTCTCTTTTGAAGGTCAATGCTCCATTTGAACTTTACATCTCCAAAAGCCCTAAAAGGCATCAGCAAGCCGAGCAGTCGATCCTGTTTCACTACACTCTTGGCCTCATTCTTTGGGTGTTCCAGTTTCAGTCGTTCTATTTCTCTTTCGTTCTGAGCATTGTGGTCATTAGAAAGTGTGACTGCTGACCAAGAGCCATCCTCTTCCTGCACACCCAACATGGCTCTGCTATCACCAGTATTGGCCACATGAAGGTCAACACCATCCACATGGGCCACACAAGCAGTGGCCCCAGAAAATGCCACCCGAAGCACCAGGTAATTGAGAAAAGAATTAGGATCACCAACTTGAGCCTCCAAGGAGATGTCATTATCAAGTCTCTTGAAAGCATTAATTAAAGCCTCCTTAACATCAATATCACTTGACTCTCCGGTGTTGAGGTCTATAAGCTCTTGCCAGTAAGTCCTCAGGCTGTTAAAGTACAATTTCGATGCCTCCTTACTGAAATAATCATTGGGATGCTTGTGCCACTGAAGAATGGGCAGCAGTGCACGACCACTCTCCACTGCATTTTCAATCTCTAGCAAAGTCTCATGGGGTAACAAAGAGACAGCAATATAATAAAAGAGTCTTTCACTGACTGCCTGGGAACAAGCACAGCCCGCGTGGCCATCGAACACCCCCAAAAGCATCCCTCTGGTCTGCAAGCAGGTTGCTGCGCTTCTCCGATCCTCAATGGGGGCATTTGCAGGTAGCTGATTGCTATCGAATCCAAGGATGGAACTGACGTTTTTGCCATCAAATTCTGGCACTTTGAAACTGTATTCATTAGCTTTAAGGATGCTGTTGACTTGTGGAGGTGTGAGGTAAAACTTCTGTGGTGTAGAAGCATATCTCCTTCCTTGGGTATACTGCCACCAGCTCTCCTTTGGCCTACAAAAGGTAGCATATGCTGGATGGGGTGTGTATCTCAGGCGACTCTGAGGAACGTAGGGCGGTGAACAGCAGAGATGTTTGTGATGGCAGTAACATGCAGTGCCATAGATTCTGCTCAGTTCACAGTTACGGATGAGAGGGAAAAACAGTTGCGTCGGTGCTGGCATGGCATCAGAGAACAGCGGCAGGCTGGAACTCCTGACTGGGATTCCTAGAGAGCAAATTGAGACAGATGTACACAAAGAAAACAGTTACACTTTATATTACTTAACTAGTTTTGTTTTCTAGAAAACACAAGAGAATCTACATACCAAGCCTTGGCGCTACGAGGACCGATATTTTATATACACATCATATATTATTTCTACAGGCTATTTTAAGAAATTTCCAATCATTTCTGGAGCTAGGATTGAACTGTACTTGAATTTCACTTTTGTCTTTTCTTTGTATTTCTTAGTGCAGAAAAACTGCTCCGAGAGTACAAAAGATTTGGCAGGGGAAGGCTGAGGAGGTTATATAACAGTATGCCGCAGCAGTCTACCTGACCAAACACTCCTCCCCATCTAATCATTTTGTTTTGGTTTTTCTTTAGTGCCACTCCTGGGCTGGGAACTTAGGGCCTAGGTGCTATCCCTGAGCTTTGTGTTCAAGGCTAGCATTAGACTAGCATTCTACCACTTGAGCCACAGCTCTACTTCTGGCTTTTGGGTGATGAATTGGAGACAAAGACTTTCCTGCCCAGGCTGGCTTTGAACCATGATCCTCAGATCTCAGCTTTCTGAGTAGCCCTAAAATTACAGGCATGAGATACTAGTACCAGGCCTCACCTAATCTTTTCACAAGAGGTGTTGGATTTTGCACGGGCACTTCTCCCGTTAATGAAGACCACGGGATCAATTGTTGGCATCTGATTACACATGTCTATCACAAACAAGTGTCCACTGTATTCTCAACAGTTACAAATTTATACATTATTTATAGATTATATACACAACCACTGTATTAATTTAATTTTCACTACAACATATACAGAAAAAATTTTTACACAATAAAAAATTTAATATTTATTTCTTGTACCTCAGTGGATGGTCTTACAAAGCCTACCTCCCTAGAACACTGTGCCAACTAAACAAGCTAGGAAGGATAGGTTGTCACCAACTGTCCAAATAATCCAGGAAAAATCATCCTGCCTCTCCTAAATTTTAAGTGAATTCATGAGAGCAGATGCTAAGGCCTCTTCTAGACTTAGGATTTTATGGCTTTTTGGAGTGAGGCTTTGAAATGTAGATTTTAATCATTCATTACTGAATTTTAATCATTCATCACTGCTCTTTGTGATTAAAAAAGTATGCACATAGCCCTAAAATTAGAAAATAATTCTAAAAATTATTTTATTGGCTACCATTGCCTCTGTTTAACAGTCATCAGAGAAATATTATTTTCATTTATCATAGCCTTAAGTAGAATTCACCCCTAGAAAAATGTTTTCTCTTACACTAAAAAAGGTATTGTCTGCCTTAGGAAAGAAATAAAGAGATGAGAAATAACAGCCTAAGGTTTGGAATATAAAGGTATTACATTATAATTATGTTTTTTAAAAAAAATCCTATGACAGAAAGCAATTTGCTGGGCATTCATTAATGAATCCATATCATTATTTCAGGTGATATATGAAATGAAAAGTCTTCAATAACATAATTTCCTGAATTTTTAAGATATTAAATCACTGTAGCCATTTAAATTATACTTTAGAAATAGTTTAATGAAGAGGGCTGGGCTGTGATCATAGCCCAAGTGGCATTGAACTTGCTTAGCACCACAGACAAAAGAAATGCTTTAATAAACAGAAAAGGACTAATGAAAACCTTAACATCTTAATATCAAATATTTTTCCAAATGCTGAACATTAAGAAAAAACTTTAACATATACCACAGAGTATTATCTACACAGTAAATAACTGTCCCATCCTCTTTTTTTTTGAGTAATTTGAGAAGTGATAAGTGGAAAATAGGGAAAATGAGAAAACTAAACAGTACTCACTGATTCTTGTTTGTTTTTTAATAAGCACTGGATAAGCCATCCAAACAAAACCTCATTTGGAAATGGCAGAATAGAGCACTATTTTATCTGTACAAAGATGGCATTTGTTTACAAAAATTAAGACAAGATCAGGCAATAGAAAACGATGGCTAGAATTTTGGAAATAGGAAAGCATTCTGAAATTCAGTAATATAGAACTTCCAGAAGAACATGGATCTATTAGGACTAACCACTTAAATAATAGCACTTCAAACTGAATACCTGAAAGTCATCCAAAGGTTAAGTCTACATGACTGGGCCAGGAACTGTGCTCAGTTGGGCCACATGACATTGGCATCCAGATGTAAACCTTTATCTAACTTTTTAGGTTTGCATATAAAGGATACATCAATGTATTTTATGCAGTGCCATAAGGGTTTTACACTATTAAAAATATAAGATGGGTTCAATCTTAATGCAAATTCCTCATAATTTTTATCTGTTATTTGTCCTTACTTTAAAATTAGGATGGAGGTAAGGAGTTGATAAATACTGTTTCATTACATGGCACCTAATCAAGGAATAACAAGTACAGAAAATCTGCATTTTCCTTAAATTCCTTTATTCTGACCATTTTTCTGTTTTTATAAGTGGCTGTAAAATGAGTGAAATCTTAAGCAAAAGAGCTCATAATTCATGCAGCAGGTGCTTTGAAAATACTCAGCTGAAATACTCAGCTACATTCTCTCTTCAAAGCACATACTCAGATTAAGGACAAATAAAAAGCAAAGAGTAAATGTTTTCAACTAGATCTTTTCATTTATTTAGGGGCCTAGAATACACAAGGACTGACAGGCATCTAGCTCCAATGCCATTAAGAGACAAATTCTCAAGGAAGTTGAAATTCATGAAAACTCTCTGCTCTGTGGTGGTTAATGAGCATTGTATCTATATCAGCAAAAGTAATATATTCTCCCCATCAGACCAGATATCTGTAGAAGTGAAGGCACTTTCAAAGGCTTTGATAAACAATTAATGAGCACTGAAAAACTTTAGAATCTTTCTAAATGCCCTGTGATTCAACAAGAGCCTCCATGGAATAAAAACTTTTGCTGATAACCTTGCTAAAACCAGATAAGGAAAAAGGCTCTTCATTAGGCAATAAGAATAAGAAGGTACAACTGAAGCATTGCCATGTTATTTCTAACCACAATTTCACCAAAAAGTTCCAACCTATGATCCAAATATAGCCATATCATACGCAGCATCTCAATACTAGGCATATCTGGCCAATTTGGCCAATGACTAATACAACTGATGTGCTGCAATCCAGAAGGAGCAACAAGACTCATCCATTCTTACTGATGTGCTCTGAAGAGCCCGTGCCAAGGAATCATTCTACTTCATCAATAAACCCACAAACCAAATTAAGTAGAAAATGCTAGCAGTGCAGTTATTGCAGAGCTCTTTAGCCTTGCAAAAGAACAGTAAGTAAAGGGGGGGAAAGTCCAGTTTATGTAATCTGATTGCCTTAAACACCCTCCATAAAGATTCTGCGATTTTTTTCAGCATTTTCTGGAAATGCCTAGCCATAGCACAGATCTCCTATCTTTACATGAACGAACAAACCAGTTCACTTGAGAAGACACAAAGCACCCAGCCATCACTTGTTTTTCTTTTCCTTTTATAAAAATCAGTTTCTTTTGTCCCTACCTGAAAAAAAAATCGCACTTAACAAAGCATCAGTACCATCCTGGTCCGGGACGCCTTTGTCCCTTTTTTCCTACCAATCTCACTTCTTCCTTCCATGCCGACCTATCTCAAAGCATCCGCACACAAAAGCAGTCACCTCCTTCCTGGGTACCCGTGGCGGGTGGCGAAGTTGCATACCTACCAATTCGTCTGGGCCCGGGACACACACACATTCTCCTGTCATCACAACACGGAGCCGACAACATCCACAACCCGCGCGGACAGCAGCAGCGACAGCAGCACCGACCCATTGAAAGCAAGGCAGAAGATGCTCATTAGAGGCGGCGGCGGAGGCGGAGGCGGCGGCGGCGGGAGGCGGGGCGGAGGAGGGGCGAGGCCGGGTTCCAGCGGGGTGAATGGGCTGGGAGGGGAGGGGAGGAGGGCCGGGAGGAGGGAGAAAAGGGTGGGAAAGAAGAGGAAGCAAAACAAACCAACCCACCCCGCCGCCCGGGCGGGGTCCCGGCGCGCGGCGGAGG